AGCAGATGGGAATTGTGGGAACTGGTGACAAGGGCTTCCTCATTTATGTGTTTTGTCAAGACCCTTTGAGGTGGGAGAGGGGCCAACTTCACAGACTTTAAGTGAATTAAAGAGGACATTTCCTAAGTCCTGCTGGAGACAGATTGCTTCATTTCCTGTCTTGAAGCCGATTAGTTGCTTTTGGGTGACCACAGTGGTCCCCTGGTCTTCTCCTCTAGATGTGGCTGAGGTAAACGCCGCCAGTTTAATTGACCACTAAGCAGCTCCCTCAACTCCCGCCTCCCTCTCTCCGACCGGGAGAGACAAGTTCTCTTCCCTGAGTATTGTGGGTTGGGACGTGGCGCTTTAGAACGCTGTCTTTCTTGGTGTAATGATAGCCAAGGCGCTTTGGAACCTATGATTCAGTTTTTGAAGTTGACCCTGCAGACAATTTTCCCCACCCCTAGTGAAATAAATACTGTAAAATACAATGTTCCTCTCCCTAGCTGAGAAACGTTTTTCAGTGACTGGTAAGCCTTAGCAAAGACAAATAAAACAACCATTTGGAGCACGTTAAATATTGTTAAAAGATACTGAAAACATAACATCCTGAAGTACAAAGTGTTTCCTGGTCAGTTTATGAGGTGTTCATTGCGCATTTACTGTTTGCAGGGTCCTGAGCCAGGCTCCGTGGGACCACAGAAGCCCCTAAGCCCTGTCCACTGTGGTCCCACGTACGATCACTCTGAAATCTGGCTGAGACGAGTAAATAGCTGCAGAGGCCCTGGGAGAAATGCAGTGAAACTTGAGCTGTCCGGGGTCTTTGGAGAGATACGGCACTCCGGTTAAATGAGTCTGCTAATAATGGAACAGTTTTGCCTTTGAACACCGTCATTGATGGGAATCTCTGAGATGTTCTGCATCTCGGCTTCGTGCGTGTTTATCTTGTTTGGTGATAGCACAGGGTCATTCTTAGGAACATTAATTTTTAGATTGAACTATAACACAGGGTTGACTCTGGGTCCTTTTTAAAACTTTCTAGTCTCTTTTTAAACTATCCTAGGCTGCTATGCTTTTGCAATTCTTGAGGTTGCTTTTTAGAGCTTTTCTGTCCCCTTCTAGAGTTGCCAACTTTTATTTCTGACTGCCAGTTTGGCTGTAGGGTGGCAAGCAGCATCTCCTCTCCCTTCGAGTTTGCTTTGCCCTGGGGAACTGGAATACAAAGTTTGCTGGAATTTACATAAATGGAGAATCGATAGACCCTGAGGGAGATGACGGCTGAGGGGCACCTTCCTTAGGGAAGCTCCGGGCACTGTCGAGGCCTGAACATTGCACTGTGTGTGTGATGGTTAGGAGGCCTCTTTTCCTGGCTTACTGCTGGGTTTGGGTGTGTTCCTTTACCATCTCCTGCCTCTGTTTCTCTGCCCCGTACAGGGTAGGGGAGGTGACAGTGTTTTTGGAGGAGTCACTGATAAGGAGGAGTCTTCAATGTGGTTGTTTGCAAGCGTGCGTCTGTGCCTTCTGAGCAACTGTGCACCTAAGTGTGAAAGATACCACAACAGGTGTTTGTGGACCAGGGAGAGTTTTGTGATGGGAGAGTGAAAAACAAGGAAAACAAGTGCTCACTGAAACATCTCCGCAAGACGATTCTTGAAAATGTTTTAGTGAAGTCTTTCAAACATGCTGAAAAGTAAAAGTAAAAAAAGTGAACACCTGTATTGCCCGACACCCTGTTTCAGAAAACATATTACCATGTTGCCTTATTTGCTTCAGATTTTTAAAATCACAAAATGTCACCAAATATAATTAGAAGTCTCGCATATACCCCTCTTGGATCCTGCCCTTCTCTCTACTGCAGAGGCAGCCACTATCCTGAAATTAGCATTGTTTATTCCCATGCGAGTTTTTGTTCTTTCAGTATATGTTTTTGTAGCCCTCAGTGATAAGTAGCATTCTTTTGCATGGATAACTTCACATAAATAGTACTTGCTTCTCTCACTCACTATTGTATTTGTGAGATTTATTCATCTTGACACTAGTTCATTCATTTTTCAGCACTGAACAGCAGTGAGTGACACACTATGGCCCATGGGCCAAATTTGTCCTATCACCAGCCTTTGCACATAAAGTTTTATTGGAATACAGCATGCCCTGTATTTACAAATCATCTATGACTGCTTTGAGCTACAATGGCCGAGCTGAGTCTTTACAACAGAGACAAAGACCGGATGGCTTCCAAACCCTAAAATATTCATTGTCTGGCCCTTTACAGAAAAAGCTAGCCAATCCTGGCTGTAGAGTATTTTATTGTACCAACATAACACATTGTATCTATTCTTCTTGTAGGTAAACATTTGGATCATTTCAATTTTTTTTGTTTTGCAAATAATATTTTCAGTAATTATTTTTTGTTTGTTCAAGAGTCTCTCTAGAGTATATAGCTGGAAGTGGAATTACTGGGCTGTAAGCCACGTGCACCCCAGACTTGACTGGATACTGCTAAATTGACCCCCAAGGCGGATCTACCAATTTTCACTTCCACTTGTAGTTTATGATAGTTTCTCTCCCTCCACATCCTTGCCAATCATCTGGTATTTTAAGATCTTAAGTTTGGCAAGTTTGATGCATGTAAAGTGGCACTTCATTTCCAGTGACAGTACTCATTTTTTCAAGTTTTTAACCATTTGCCATTCCTCTTATGTGAATTGCCTAATTATATGCTTTGTCCATTTTTGTTATTAAGTTGTCTCTTTTTGATTTGTGAGAGTTCTTTACATATTCTGGCTACTAGTCCTTTTGATTAGATACATTAAAACCAGTATGTGACTTAGTTTTCAAACATACATGCACACACACATATGACTTTTTTCCTAGCGAAAGTTTATAAAGTCGAAAGGGTCCAAACTGAAGACAAGGTAGGTAGATGACAGCAAGGATGATTCAGCACTGTTTTCCCCACCAGCACAGTTATATAAGCTTATGACTGCCCCATCTTGGAGCAATTAGATGCCTTTCCGAGGCCATCTGTTGGAGTGAGCTGATTGTTACTGACACTTTGGCTGTATAGACGTGACCAACAAAGTCCCATGGAAGCTGAAGGCCACCATGGTAGGGTGTGATGGGCACAAGGGTTTGGAAGGCTGCCTTGGACAAAAACCAAATGCAATTTGTGGTTTGGGGTTTCCCTTTTTTGGGTTTGGCTGAAGTCAGACCTCGGTTTCAGCTTGATCAAGTTGAGCCATTCTCTGGCCCACAGCGATTTCAGTAATTCAAACTTCCATTTTCAGGGCAGACTACTTTGTTTGACTTCCCATTGGTCCATCATCCTCAAAACTGAGAATACTGGCTTCCCCCATCCTTCCACCTTCTCTGACCTTTTCACATCAAACTTTCTGAGTGGAATAATTAAAAAAAAAAAAAAAAAAGAATTTGCAGTCCCTGTGGTTTCTGTAGCCCTGTGAAGTTTACCAAGTCCTTGCAGCCGTGATCTCTGTGTATTAACCACAGCTCAGTGAAGCGTGCAGAGAAGACAGATTGCGACTGCCATCTCGCAGTTGAGGGCTGCAGAGAGACACTGGAGGTGGCATGCCCCTGGTCCCACAGCAGCATAGCAATCTTCTGTGCTGCGCCCGGCGTCTGCCCTGGTGTTGTTCCCACCGTGTGCAGTACAGATGCATGCTCGGGTCATCGCCCGAGAAACAGAATGACTCCTCTCCATCCCCACCATCATTGCTCCTTGCAGGAGGGCCACAGTCCGTGGGACCAAGACACACATAACTAGGGGAACAAGTGTAACATTCCCCAAGTCTATGCCGCATGCCAGACTTAGCACTCAACATCTCACGTATCTCATTTGATGCTCCAATTAATGCTGTAAGTAAGTAGTAGGATCAGCTTCCTGGACCGGCAGCTGGTGCGGTCACACAGGGCCAGTGTTTAGCTTAGGAGGGCGCCATGCTTGGTTTTATGCTCTGATCTTCCCGCCTTGAATTTTTAAATGGTTTTTGAACAGTGGAGCCCACGTTTTCAGTTTGCACTGGACCTCGCAAATTAGGTAGCCAGTCCTGTGCACAGATAAAGCAAGCAAGACTCAGAGAGGTGAACTAATTTGCCCAAGATTACTCAGTTAATAAGTAGCAGAGCTGGGATTGGTGTATTTTCTACTTGGCTGATTCATTTATTGAAAACAGAGCCCTGGAGTGATCCTTGTTTGAGTTGTACTGCAAGGGAAATTGTATTGTGGAAATACGAATTTTCTGTGGAGTTTTGCTTGTGTGTTAAGTGGTTTTGTGTTGGTCTTGCACTGGCTAGTTGCCTCCCTCTTCCTCGGAGGGGAGAGCCCAGATCTGTCATCTCTTTTGAGGTCCCTAAAAGTAGCTAGAACAGGAAGCCCCCTAGAGGAGCTACCCAGGAAATGGTCACTGACCAACTGGGTTAATGGCCTTTTTAGGTTGCAAAGAAGAAATCGAGACTCCTGAGTTCACCATAGTGAGTCATACAGAGTAAGTGAGGAAGTGAAAGGCTGGCCTATAGTTAGGCTCCTTCATAGCTCTTGGATCAGATCATGTCATTACTTCCTCGGGAGCAGAGGGTCACAGGCCCCCAACTCAGCTGCTCCTCTGGCTTTGCTTTTCTCTGTGTGTCTCCTAGGCTACCAACCATTTGTTCTTGCCTCCTCTAGGAGACGTCTGTGAGATTCAGGTTTTGCCCCAGACCCGTCAGAATCATGCTGGCCGGCCTGGCCTGGTGGTTGACTGTTCAGGGTGAAGCATTGACCTCTGGCCGTGTTGGTGTGCTTACAGGGCCTCAGCATGGTGATGTGGGAGAAGGAGCCTTTAGAATGAGGCAGAGTGAGTCTCATCCTGTCCAGGTTTGGCCCGGCAGTCTCCCGGGATGGGCTTTGAGTCTACCATCTTAGAAGATGAGCACCCTGCTTCCTGAGCAGGACACTCCCTTGGCTGGAGGAAGTTCAAGGGGACCTGCTGGCCTCCCTGGTGATCTGCTCTGTTTTCCCTTCACAGCAGCAAACCCTCTGCTTTGCTCCACCGCCCGCTACCACTGCAAGAATGGCCTCTGCATCGACAAGAGCTTCATCTGCGATGGGCAAAATAACTGTCAAGATAACAGTGACGAGGAAAGCTGTGAAAGTTCTCAAGGTAGGAGCTTCTCACACTGTAAAAAGATAATTGCAACACAACACCACAGTAACAGAAAACATTGAAAGGAAGAAAGCAATACCCATATCCACCTCCAAACACAACAGCTATGTTAGTTTTTTGCACTTGGCCTTGCAGCCCTTGTATGGGGAGGTACATGTGTTTACATGGGTTTAAGTATAACGCGCCTGCCATTTTGGATTTTGTATTGTTCAAGTATTAAATATCTATACGTTTTCTCTTCAAAATTTTAATGAGCCCCAGCTGTGTTACATACTGTCTTGTTGCTCTACTGTGGTTTTCTAAGTAATTGCATTGTTGGGACAATCCCCAGGACGTTTCTTTCCATTGAATTTCTTCTTTAGGGTTCATTCCGCAGAGGAGGACACCAGCACAGGTTGCGGCTACACCTCACCATGCAGCTGTTTGAATTTTTTTTCTTAGTTTACATTGCTTCTAGCATCTATGCCTGTCAGTTTTACTATAATATCACAGACATTTACTGCTGTACTATTTTTTCCGTTTTGCTAATTTAGTAGTCATAGAATGGCAGCCTCCCAAAATGGTTTAATTTGCATTTCTCTGATTATGAACAGAGTTAACATTTTGCCCTCGTGTTTGTTTACTGCTTTGCTTTCTCTTCTGTGAATTGCCTGCTCGTATCAGGGCTCTTGATTCCAGGGCTATTTAGTGGGAGCAGAGTGGAAAGATGAGCTTTGTTGGGGAACCTGGGAAGGACACAGTAGGGTAAGGTCTTGTCCTTGCCTGTTAAAGCTGAACAAAAAGCCGACATTTCTTTGCTTACTGACTCTTCTTCAGTAAGTGTGCATTTCTTCAGTGATTAGAAAGAAATATGAAGATTTAAAAATGCATGTCTATTTTAAGGCATTCTAAAAAGTATATATTTCTAATGTTATAAACAGGTATCATCTGTATGTAATCTTTACCTTTTTCACTTAATATTATATTGCTGCAACTCACCCATGTTATTGTTTGTTGGTAGAATTCATTTGCTTTAACTGTTATTTGATATTGCACTGTATGGAATGTATAGATGTATTCCACGGTTTATAGATTTAATAAAACTGTAAAAAGAAAAGTAAGAGAATGATGGTTACCTTGTTAATTCATACGTTGGGAGGTAGGATAGTTGGAGAAGTCTCAGGTAGTTAGATATAGGTTATTTTCAAGGTCCTAGCTTTTACTTTGGTGGGTGTTTATGATGTTATTAAAAAGGAACGAATGAGTGAACAAATGGGTCGTGTGCACACCCCAGGTGAGAGTGGTCCAGAAACCAAGGATTATGGTCAATCTAAATCTGTATGCCTGAGGTCTGCAGAAAAGAAAAGATAAAATGTGTATCAGGATAGACTTTGCCAGGAGTTGGTGCAGAGAACTCCCTCCTGTGTCTTGGATGGAACTAGCCTCTGCTTGTCCTTGCCTGGAAAATCCCCTTCTTGGGTCTTCTCTTCACTAGTGGTTCTCAAAGCATTACGCTCAGCATCACATGGGAACTCTCTGGAAAGGCAGATGCTCGGGCCTCACTCCAGACCCCCTGAATCAACCACCGAGGGTTGGCCCAGCCATCTATGTTCTATATCACAAGCCCCCAGGTGATTCAAATGCATATTAAAGTGTGAGATCCACTGTTCCATACTAACCTTCAAGAGTTTTTAAATCTTGCAATTTGCCTAGGAATTGCTAAACTTCTGACTGATGGAAAGGTATTGCTAGCCTTTACACAAAGTCAAGTTTTTATAAACCATACATGCCAGCGTAGAGCCAGTGAAATATACCAAATGGGAGCAACAACTGCAGAGTCAATAAATGTTAGCATGGATAGGAGGCATGGAGGAAAATTTTCTCTAAATATTGTTTCTTATATAGTTTCTCATGTGTTTATGAATCTAGACTCACTTATGGTGCCCCGAGATGTTTAGCAAAAGGACTCCCACGTCCAGGAGTTGGAGCTTAGGGATGCTGATGGTTTGGGCCACACCCTCACTCCGCCTTTCCCGTGCCTATCCCAGTATTTTGCTTAAGCAGATTTTCACTTGCCCTTAAGGAGAACAGCTGGCCCCTCTGTAGGCTATTTGAAGTTAGTATTTCTAACTTCCGCTTCTTTCTTTCTCTCCATGTTCCACTCTCATGAATGAGGTTTATGGAAAAAGTCAGTGGTGGACACATACGTATGAAGCCCAACTCTTGACAGATACCTTCCTTAGAATCTCATTTTTGTGCCCTCAAGATGAGAAATAAAAAAATAAGCTATATACGTGTCATCCCAGAAAACAATTTCCGTCAGGCAGCTGGTAACGTCTGTCAGTTGCTATGGGTATAATAGCCACCGCACAAGGGCACTCATTGTCGAATGCATGGCCTTTAGCTACCTAGGAACAGGAAACATACCCATTTTGCTTCTCGAATCTCACAGAACCTACCTAGTAGCCTAGTGTTCTGCACATAGTGGATTCGGTAAGTGCTGAAGGCTAGAACAGGTTTCTTTGTAGGGTGTTATGTTATCATTACACTACATTTAATTTGCACCCTACATGGTATTGCACCATCTAGGTTTTTAAGCTATTTGAGTTCAAATATCCACAACCTATTAAAAAAAGAATAACAAGTATTATTATTATTGTTGATAGCATAGAAGGTTCATCATTCCCCCAGTGGGAATCTGCCCTGCAGCGAGCGTGAGACGGGAGACACAGATCCACTGTTCCCTCGGCCAGTCTGCAGGTCTGCATGCCTCATCCCTAACGAGGTGTACGCACCTCCGTGCTCTCAGTGTGATTTTGCCATCTAAGGGGGTGCTTTTCTCGCGTTGAATAATCTCTGCATGCAGACTGACTACCTGCTAATTTTGGTGCTTGAACAAAGGAACGTCAGTGCACCACTGCTGTGGGAAAACTGACCTGCGCTGGGCTTTGGGGAGATGGAGATCCGTGCAGGTGTCTTCCTGAGGAATCTCAGAGGCATCTTGACTAGACAAAATATTGCCTTATGCCACGTAGGATTTGACCCATTGTCATCTTAATAGTCACAAATGTTTATTGGGCCTTACAATATACCAAGTACTTGGCTAAGCATGCGCTTGTGTCGTCAAATATGTCCTGTCAGCTTCTGCTGGGCTTCTAGCCCTTGAAAGGTGCATCTTTGTTCCCGGTTGATGTAGGAAAAGAAAATTATATTTTATAGTATTTTTCTTGATGGAGTGGAGAGAACTGGCCCCAAGACTGAAAATATGTGCTTTGAAATACCCCTGATTTGAATAGGGTATGGAAAAGTGGTTTCTCCACTTTAGAGGAACCAGCTTTGTATGAGCCTCTCCTCCCTTTTTACCCTTGTCTGGGATTGAGTTCTGCTGTTTATCCTTGGCCTTGACAACCAACAGCATGCTCTATAATGAATTAGAATCTCATCTTTGTGTCTTCCCTACCCAAATGACAGCCCCTTAGAAAATAAGCTATATATGCACGTGATCCCAGAAAACAAGTCCCGTCAGACAGCTGGTAACACCTGTCATGGCGAGAAAGTGCAGTCAGTAAAATCCCTTTGTATTCCATATGGATGTAAGAGAGACCAAAGAACGCAGTGGTAGAATCAAATTTTAATTGGAGCTTCATTGATTGGAAACATAACCTGTTTTTAAGATAATCCCAAAAGTAATAGCTCTGGAGCACCTGTCTGTGGCTTTTCTGTTGCTTAGGAACTCTCCCTGGGAAGGGCACATCTGAGAGTTGGCAGGTGCTGTCATGCACGTGTTGGGGATGACCAGCACTCAGGTGCCTTACGAATGTTGACTGATGAGGGAGGTGATGTCTAATGATCCCTACCTGCTGGTATTCATGCCCTGGTATTATAACAAAGGGAATGGCCTGGAAAAAAAATGGCAAAAATATTTTCTGTCTCTTTAAAACATCCTCTACTCCTTTCTGAGAACTAAAGCCTGCATCCCTGCCTCAGGCCAGTGGTTGGGAGGGGCAGGGTTAGTCTTTGGTTTGTTTGTGCACCAGGAGATGGCCCAGCCGGACCTGGTAAAGGGAGGTCCTGGGCGGAGGGCACGAGATTGTCTTCAGCAGAGATGGATGATCAGATGTAGTTGAACAGTAATTGCCTGAAGCTGAGAACCCATCCTTTAAAAGCTCTGTGTTTCTATGAATGTTCAGAAATTTGGATTTTGAGACGAGAAGGTCTACCATTTTTCCTCCTTTGCCAGCAAAGTAAAAAAATGTCTCTTTCCTCCTCTTCAAACCACTTGTCCTCATTCTTCTGATTTGGCCTCATGGACAAGTGCTGAGTTTTCGGTAACAGTATAAACCCATCTCTTCGAATGTCATCTAGACCTTGTGACTTACTTTTTTTGCGTGTAGCAAAATGCCCATAACCTAAAATTTATTATCTTAACTGCTTTTAAGTGAACGGTTCAGTAGTGTTAAGTATATTCACATTGTTGTGCAACCCATCTCCAAACCCTTTTCATTTTGCAAGTTTGAAACTGTAATAACTCCCTGTTCTCCCTCCCCGCAGTCCCTGACAATCACCATTCTACTTCTGTCTCCAGTAATTTGATAAGTCTGGGCACCTCACGTGAGTGGAGTCATACAGGGCTTGTCTTTTTGTGACTGGCTTATTTCACTTATTAACGTCCTCAAGGTTCATCCATATTGTAGCATGTGTCAGAATTTCCTTTTTTAAGAGCTGAACAATATCCTATTGTACGGATAGACCACATTTGCTTATCCATTCATCCATCAGTGGACGTTTGTGTTGTAGCCACCTCTTGGCTATTGTGAATAATGCTGCAGTGCACATAGTTATACAAATAGTGATTTTCGCTTTTAACAAGAAAATATATCAAAAGTGGTGGATGTCAGTTTCAAGGTTAGGTTGAAAAGGACGCTAGATCCATTCTGCTTACCCTCTCTGGCTGGGTCTCCTGGACAGACGCTGCCATGTTGTGAGCTGTCCTGTGCAGAGGCCCATGTGGCCAGGAC